AACTCATTAGTTGCAATGCTTGCAAGGCTTAAGTGATGTGCATTACCGAGAGGGCCCAGAGATACCTCTCCGACAATCGGAGTGACAAATCCTAATCTCGAAATACGCCAACCCAACATGTACCTTTGGAGACACCTGTAGAGCTCCTTTATAATCACCCAGTTACATTGTGACGTTTGGTAGCACACAAAGTGTTCCTCCGGCAAACGGGAGTTGCATAATCTCATAGTCATAGGAACATGTATAAGTCATGAAGAAAGCAACAACAACATACTAAACGATCGGGTGCTAAGCTAATGGAATGGGTCATGTCAATCACATCATTCTTCTAATGATGTGATCCCGTTAATCAAATAACAACTCTTTTGTTCATGGTTAGGAAACATAACCATCTTCGATTAACGAGCTAGTCAAGTAGAGGCATACTAGTGACACTCTGTTTGTCTATGTATTCACACATGTATCATGTTTCTGGTTTAATACAATTCTAGCATGAATAATAAACTTTTATCATGATATATAAGGAAATAAATAATAACTTTATTATTGCCTCTAGGGCATATTTCCTTCAATATCAAATTCACAAAGTGTCTTAATTAATACTATCATGAAAATCATGATATGACTGTGATATGATATAATGATATTGGCTACTTATTTGATCTCAACAATGCCATATCAATGGCTGAATTTGCTGGAATATCCTTCTTATGAAAGTCATCTAAATAGACTTTAAAAACTACTTTCACTTATCATTCTAACATAATTGTTTCATCCGTAGCATTGCAAAATATGCATGTCTTAGCAAAATGATTGACCACACTCAATATCATGTGGTTAAGATTCATTTGAAGCCTATATTGTTATCTGTTAAGATAATATCACTTGTATCATTAAAATACATTTGGGATGTATGAAGAGTAATATCATAGACAAATTGCACATAAGTTATTTTATCCACAATAATTATTGGAAAGAGTGGAAACGGTTTTGCAAACAAAATACTTTGAAAATCCAATGAATTATTCACAATGTCAATACCAACTTTTACATTACATAATCATATCCGTGGAATTGGTATGAGACAATCTTAAAATTTGCAAAGTTTAAGGGGAGTAAACTCCTACTTTATAACCTATTAACTATCATCAAGTTGCATATATTATACTCTTTCTTCCTTCATGAGTGTTTACATAATGATTTCTCATAAAAGGTTAATTATGAGACAATATAGATACAAGTGTTCACATATTTCATATCAATTTCTCCTTATATTTCCCCCCATTGAGTTTTAAAGGAGTTTTCAATGGCATATCAGATATCAGTCTTTTCCCTTATGAGTTTTCTGTCAAAATTTCTCATAATAGTTTTTAATAAGGTAAATATATTTTCAAGAACATATGCGACACTTTCAAGATTTCTCCATCGGGTTTTCTAAAGGAATATATAAAAATCATATTTATTATTCTCCAAACTCACCAATGACTTTTCTCCATGCTCAAAGGTTTTTTTTTTTCATTTGAGTTACCAAGAAGACAATAATCATTATATTTTGCATTGTTTTCTTCTCATTATTTTTCCTACTGGGTTTAAATGAGTTTTATCAACATATGTGTCAAATTTTCGTCATATTTTTCCCACAGGGTTTATAGAGGAGACTCTCAAGATGATGCAAATAAGTCCTAATGATGAAGAGATGAACATTCCCAAGAGTAAACATATATTAGGAGGATTCTACCACGATGATGCATATTCATAGTCAAGTATAGAGTAGGGGGAGTGTTAAGGATTAATTCGATCCTAATAATGTAATCAATACTTACTTTAATTGTGTAGTTTAGCAACCGTCACCGCCCGCCTAAATTATTGCCTTTGTACAGAGGGGTTTGATACCCTAATCTTCAATTAGTGGAATCATTAGTTCATTTTCGTCAATTATATTATGCTTTCACAAAAACTAAATTTCTGTAAGATTAGGATTGACATGACATTTCAATCTAATATATGTTTTCCCTTTTCCTACATTTTGAAAGTCATGTGGATCAAAGTGACATTTAAAGGTCTTGGCTAGTTTAATAAAGTTCTGCTTCTACTACAAGGAAAGCTATGATTATTCATATGAATCTATCTGAAATGTTTTGTCCCATATGAACAGGAAAAAATCTCATCTCTCTTTCACTTTCGAGAAAAAATGTCTCCTCTCTTCATTATCAATTGTTTTTGTATTTTATAAGTAAAGCTATAATCCACCTGTTCTAGAACATAAAGTGTGTTTCAGCTCTTTTCAGTGTAGATAATGTATGATTATCGTATATAATATGTTACAAAATCGTTTAGCTTGACACAAATATGGTATTCCCGAAAATAACCAAATAAGAAAATGGCTATATCTGTTTGGGGGTGAGTTAGACCTGGCTCACACTTGACCTGTTTATGTTGGTTTAAAATGACTCGGCTACACGCGGACCCTTTTCTTAAGAAAAAAATTAGGTGGCACTATTAAAGCCTAGGGGTGCCTCATCTTACCAGAAGCCGGCCCGAGTAGGTCGGCCAAGGGCTCGGTGACGCTATTACGGCCCAGGGGTGCCTCATCTTACCAGAAGATGACCCGAGTAGGCCGGTCTGGGGGGCCTAGGTACATTATGACATGGGCTGGCTAACCCGGTCCATGGCCTTACAGCAAGGCGGATCCGGAAGATTTGGAGTACAAGTCAAGATGTCCGGCATCCTAGACGATACCTCCAACCCGACCAGGATCGTGTAACCCTAGACCTCGGTACCCATATAAGTCGGGGTAGGCTAGATGCCAACATACATAACCATACAGTTATTGCTCAATTTCTTGGTCGTTGTAACCCTTATACACAGGAAAAACGCACGAGCATGAGTATGGTTTTACCTCTTCCACGAGGCCCTGAAGCTTGGTAATCTCTCCCTTGTTTCCTGTCCGATCAACTTGTGTGTCTAGAGTTCCCTATCTAGGGATCTTCCAGAAAATACTCCGACATAAAGATCAAGTCAAATGCGGATGTGTCGAATGTCTAGGTCTATCAAGAAACATGGGATTTTCTCAAAAATAAACAAGAAACATCGGGTGAGCCAGAAGAGCGTGTATTTTTCTCTTCCAACTCCACTGAGCCTGGAATTTGCAAAATAGTAAAAAAAACGACCTTTCAAGTTTCAGAAACATCTCAAAAAATACACACGCAATTGGTGATGTAGTACAAGTATGTAAAAACTTATTATGAAATACATCGTGATGTGAGCTACATAAAAAATCATGCAGTTTTACAATGGATACTCTTCACTAAAGAAGTACATATTTTTCATGTGTAGCTCATATCGAAACATACCTCGTCATGAAATTCCACAAACAAGTAGCGCACACATATGTGTGTGTTTGTTAGATCCTTTTGAAAATTACAAAAAAAACCAATTTTTTGAATTTCCAAAAACATGTGCCATAAAGCCTCAGGGACCAAAAACAATTTCCGTAGCCCCACCCTACATGTACGCAAAACCACATAATTCCAGCCATCCAGGGAGATGGAATTCCCAGCTAGAGCCAATAGTGGACCGTAGGCGTTGTCTTCTTGATGCTCAGTTGTTCAAGACAGTTTTACTTTTGTCCAATACTAGCATCAGTTGACTGATCTTTTGAAAAGATTTGTTGGGTTGTGTGCCATTGGATTCACCTTGAGACAATCGTTCGATCTAGCTGACGAGATTTGCAACATGGGTCATGTTGTGCTCGGAGGTTCACAACATGGTTCATGTTGTACTCAGTCCGATCCCGTTGATAAGATTTTCAACATGGATCATGTTGACCTCGAAGCTCTGGTCAGTTGACAAGGTTTGCAATATGGATCATGTTAGACCTCGAAGCTTTCCAACATGAGCCATGTTACGTCTGGGAGCTTTGCAACATAGCCGACGTGTTGCCCGCTTAGTCTCGTCGTGTCTCCTTGGATACAAATGGCTTGTTGTGACGGAGGAACCATGGTGGCTTGCTGAAGGGAGGACATGGGCGGAGTCGAGAAGCTAGACGGTGGCTTAAAGTAAAGTCAACATGTGGATATAATCGGTCAGGTGGAGATAAAGAGAGAACGGTGTGTGAGGCCCATGGCACCACGTGGCTCGTTGTCGATGCTTCGTTTTTTGTTTCCAGACGGTTGAGGAAAAGCTTTTCCTTTTAGTTTTGAGCACTGCTATACAGCCGATATTTTTAGACGACATGCAGACGACGTTTCCCATCCAGCCATCAGTATTTTGGTCCCTAAAGCATCTGACGGTGCAAATTATTTATCGGCTGCACATCGGGCACATAGTGTCGTGTGCATATTCATTCCGTTTAGTTTTTATCGACCGAGTTTAGCTCTCGGATTAGTTTTAGTATTCCAGATTTGACACCCCAAATCTTGAACTATTTTGCAACTTCAAATAGTGCGGTAAACATCCAAATGGTTTAGTTTTTTAAATCTCCATCAAGCTAACTGGGTCTTAATTAACTATGTGTACACTTGCAAAATCCCATTAGCATGATTCTTCACGAACAGAAAGAGGATTGCACAAGGCATGTTGTATGTCGATTCGCTTGAGAATGTACCGAGCGAGAGTGCCATCTCAAATGAGCTTATACAGAAGTGACAATAACGCAGAAAGAAAAGAAAAAACTGAGGGTCAGACATGACCGCCTCAAAGTTAAGCCGCGGGGAATGTTGTTTGCTTCACTTTCTTCAGATTCAATCCAGCCCCTTTTCCGCTGCGTTTATGCCCAAATCACTTGACCGGCAGCACATGCAGCGCCGGCCTGCCGTGAGCGACTCCGGTGACTCGCTCGCCCCTTGCTTCTTCAAGCAAGGCAAGTCTCCTCGACCTCGCGCTGATCGATCAGCTAGCCACGGACACCAGCGGCTTGGTGCACGGAGATCAGGTTGGCTCAAGCATAATAACCTTTCGTTGTCAGGCACGTACTGTATGTCGCTTGGCACTCTCGCTGGTTAGCTCGAGACGGACACCCCATGGCGTGCACGCCCGGACTCTGCTCCCGCCGAGAACCGCTGCAGCCTCCGGGCGGCCTGCCTGGCGGAGACGGCGTCGAGCTGCATCTGCTCGTGGCGGCACTCCTCGCTGCAGAAGGGCGTGTCCCCTCTGTACATGAAGACGTCGCTGTCGCGCACCAGCCGCTTGGCACAGAGCGCGCACGCGTCTAGCGCCGGCATGCCGGGCTCGCCCACCGGCTCGGCCTCGAAGAAGAAGGCGCAGGCTACTGATGCCGCCATGGTATTGCTGTAGGCCTGTAGCCTGTATGGTTGGGAAAAGACTCGGAATGGCTTCTTCTAGCAAGCCCGATCTTGAGCTGCTTCAGAGCTAGAATTCGCAGTTCGTTGCTGCTCTTGGCGGGGGGAAGAGGTGGGTGAGATCAGTGCAGCTGCGAAGCGGGAGCGTGGGCATATATGGGCGAAGGGAGCACGGCAACCCTGTTATTGGTGCACTGGCGGCTTGCAAACCATGGTCCGGTGCGCGGTATGGGGCTAACCATGGACCAAGGGAGAGGGTTCCAGCGTGCCTGGGTGTGAAGCGGTGGTTGGCTCGATGGATAACGTGGGCCCCGACGAGAACGACGGCGACGACGGAGTTATGTGTGACGTCGACGGGGTTAGGCACAAGTTCTTCTTTATACAAACGGAGAGGATTAGAGGAGTCTGTAGAATGTCCATGTCGACGTCGACGTAGAGAAAAAACCAGATGGTCTCGTAAATACGCTGATAGGCCGGTTTCACTGTTTTTATGCTTTTCGAAAAGTTCAGCGAAATCAGACCTTGATTTGTAAAAAAATTAAGATCTGACTTTTTTGTATTGTCATTGGCTTTGGCAGTAGGGTAGCACAACCTACCACCAGAGTCTCTGACGGTAGGACTTACTCCATCCGTTTCTTTTTAGTCAGCATTTAAGATTTGAACAAAGTCAAACTTTGTAAAGTTTGACCAACTTTTTGAAAAAAAAATTCAATATCTACAATACTAGTGTTTTATGTTACGAAAATCAATTCATAATGCATATAACAATATTGATTTCATATTGTGAATCTTGATGATTTTTTATAAACTTAGTTAAAGTTAATAAAGTTCAACTTTGACCAAATATTATATGCAGACTAAAAAAACGGAAGGAGTACCTACGGTAGGTTGTGTTACACTTTTATTTGAAACAGGCAAAAGACTTGCCATTTCATTGATTAAGAAGAAGAGGAGACAGGGTCCGAATACAGCAGCCACATGGTGGCGAAAAAGAAAAACTACTCACGAGGCAGAATCACATCTAAACCCTTGGCCCCCCGCAGAAACCCATAGGCTTGCCTCATCAAGGATCTTGTCCACAATAATAATTGAAGGCGTAGAAGTATCTCTAAAATCCCTAGCATTCCTCTCCTTCCATAGCTCCCAGGAGACCAACATAAGGAGCGAGGCCATTCCCTTCCGAGATGGCGAACGCGCAAGGGAAAGCTTAGTCCACCAGTCGTTGACATTGTTCATAGTTGCCCAATCATGCGTCGAGAGGTCAACTAGCCCAATCCTCGCCTTAACCGTGTTCCAGACGGCGATCGAAAAGCGGCACTGGAACAGAAGATGGGCCGCCGATTCCTGGACCTGGTTGCAGAACGGGCACAAGCCGCAATTTGGCCACCCCCTCCGTTGTAGCCTATCCGCCGTCCAAACTCTGTTGTGGATGACTAACCAAGCAAAGAACTTGCATTTAGGAGTGGCCCACACCTTCCAAACGGTGTTAAGCAGAGGCGTGGTGGTATGCCCCTCGAACTGCATCTTGTAGGCTGAGGAAGTGGAGTAGGTACCGTTGTCCGTGAACTTCCAAGTGATCGTATCTTGCATGTCGTGATCAAGAATAACCCCATCCAGCTTCTCCCACAGAGTGGCGAACTCCTGGATATGCCCGGCAGAGATGCCTTCTGTCAAGTTGATCTGGGTGACCCAAAAGTCTTCATTTAGGGCCTTTTGTACAGAGCAGTCTTTCCTTTTGGAGATATCAAATATTTTGGGAGCAATATCCATTGGCCTCAACCCGTTAAGCCAAGGGGACTTCCAAAAGAGAGCTTTGGAGCCATCTCCAATCTTCACCGTCGTACACGCGGCGAAAAGGTCCCTATCAGCCTCGTCGCAAGGGGTGCCAAGCCCAACCCAAGGTTTGGGTGTAGCAGACCACTCGAACCAAAGCCAGCGGAGGCGAAGCGCGGTGGCAAACTTCCACAAGTTCAGAATTCCAAGGCCGCCCATAATCTTCGGTCGACAGACCCGCTCCCAATTGATCTTGCACTTGCTCCAGTGACCTTATCGCAGCTAGCCCATAGAAAGGCCCGTCTCAAGGCATCAATCCTCTTGAGCACCTCCACCGGTAGAACAAGCGATGTGATGTTATAAATGGCGATGGAAGTGAGTACCGCCTTAACTAGGACAACCCTACCAGGGGCAGCCATGACATGCCCAATCCAAGGAGCAAGTTTGCGTGCAACTTTATCTTCGAGGGGCAAGAAGTGTATTGCTTTGAGCCTTGACACCGTGAGGGGCAGCCCGAGGTATGTAATGGGAAAAGGGGTGAGCTTTGCCGGAAAGTGCTGCAAGATGTCCTGTAGGTCAAGGCCGGCACAGCGGATGGGGGCCACAAGACTCTTATTGCAATTGGTGACCAGGCCCGTGACCTCCCCGAAAGCATCAAGGACAGAAGAGAAGTAGTGAACGTCCTCCTTGATAGGCTTGATGAAAACAGCAGTGTCATCAGCATAAAGGGAGGCACGGAGAGTGGCGGTGTTGGCCCGGAGTGGCTGAAGTTTGCCTTGCCTTGTGACCTTGTCAAGGATGTGGTGTAGGGGGTCGATGGCGAGCAGAAAGAGTAAAGGGGACATCGGATCCCCTTGTCGCAGGCCTTTACCATGACGGATAGGATCACCAGTCATGCCATTAAGGAAAACTCGCTAGGAGGCCGAGGAGAGGAGTGCCAAAACCCAGCCTCGAAAACGCACAGGGAAGCCAGGGTGCTGCAGGAGGTCCAATAAGTAGTCCCATCGAACCGAATCAAAGGCCTTCTTGATGTCAAGTTTGAAGAGCAACATGGGGGTCTTGCTCCGGTGGAACCTTCTGGCAAGGTTGCGCACATAGGTGAAGTTGTCGTGGATGCTTCGCTTCTTGATAAAGGCGCTTTGGGCTGGCGAAACAAGATCATCCATGTGAACTGCGAGGCGGGATGCCATCATCTTCACAATGAGCTTGGCCATGGCATGGATGAGACTGATAGGCCGAAAGTCAGAGATATCTTCCGCACCATCTTTCTTCGGAATGAGCACGATGTTGGCCGAGTTCAACCAGTGGAAGTTTGAAGCATGCAGATTGGAGAAGTGGTCAATGGCAGCCATGACACCCACCTTGATGATGTCCCAACATGCTTTGAAGAAAGCACCCGTAAAGCCATCAGGTCCCGGAGCCTTATCAGATGGAGACTCAAACACGGCACGCCTAGCCTCCTCCTCAGTGAAAGGGGATCCAACATCACTGAGGTCACAATCAGGGGCGAGAATGCCCTCCCAGTTAAAGTCCCTTTGTTGCCGAGGGCCCTTCTTGATAACAGAGGAGAAGTGGCTATGAATGATGGCCTTCTTATGGTCGTGGTCGGTAACCCAGCCACCATTATATTTTAGGCGATGGACGAAATTTTTTCTCCTTCTGCGATTGACTCTAAGGTGGAAGAATCTAGTGTTGGCGTCTCCTTCTTTGATGTTCGTGATCCTTGACATTTGCCGTTTCTGAGCCTTCTCTAGCACGGCCAGGCCAACGACACGCCTCTTAAGCCTCTTTCGGAGATCAAGCTCGGCGGGGCTCAGGGATCTAGATTCATGCGCAATATCAAGGCGAAGGATGACCTCCAGGGCCATATGGAGCTGGACCTTGACATTAGAGAAAAGTGTTCTGCTCCAAGATTTAAGTCTGATACTAGTTTTCTTGAGCTTGTGATGGAGAACGTGGTAGGGCTCGACATGGTTATGGTCTTCATTCCATGCCGCTTGGACTGTGGACAGAAACCCAGGCATAATAATCCAGAAGTTCTCAAAACGAAAGCACTTGGAACGTTTTGGGCCATTCGCATTTGCAAGCAGGAGCGGACAATGGTCGGACAGAGAGGAAGAAAGGGCATGCAGGATGTGCAAACCGAACTCCAAGTCCCATTCCTCATTGCAGAAGAAGCTATCAAGTTTGCTTAATGTAGGATCACTTTGACCGTTGCTCCACGTGAATCTCTTGTTTTGCAGATGGATCTCTTTTAACTCACAGGAGTTCAGGGCGTTTCTAAAACGGACAATGCGGCTGCAATTGGCATTTGCGCGATTCTTATCTCTTGCTCGATAGATTTGGTTGAAGTCACCCGTAACCAGCCACATGGTGCCCGGGGGAGGCTTTTCGGACACAAGCTCGCCAAAGAAGGCGTCCTTGAGATTGCCACGGGTAGGGCCGTAGACAGCGGTCAGCTTGAAGGAGGTGGAGTTGTCAGTCTGGGAGCGCAGGGTAACGAAGGCCGAGAGGTAGTAGGTCCCAAAATGCACGTTTGATAGCTGGACCACATCCTCATCCCATAGCAGAAGGATGCCACCACGGGTACCATCTGCCGGTCGTTGGGCAAAACTTTTGAGCCTCTGACCTCCAATGTGAGCAGCAGTGAGGGAGTCTGCATTCTCCATCTTGGATTCTTGTAAGCAATCGATGTGGCAAGGAGTAGCAGCAATCGTTTCATGAACGATGGAGCGACGGTTCGGGCAATTTAGACCTCTGACATTCCAATTCAGAATTGTGAGGTTGTGTTCTGTCATTTGGAAACTAGGTCTACATCCTTGATCTTGGCGTTGACACAACAATGTAGGTACAGCCAGCAACTTGCAAGGGCAGAACCAGGACATAGTAGCACAAACAACAAGATAACCAGCCTCGCCAGGGCCAACATCCACTTCGGGAACACGAAGCAGCAAACAGGCGTACATGAGGAGTTGACATATTGCCTCGCCAGGGCATCAGGTTGCTGCAACAGATTGCAGTTGCAAACAGGCGTAGAGGGAGCAGAACTACATGATTCAGAGGTACATGGTTCAACTAACATGGTTCACTAATTACTATAGCAGCATGACACCATCCAGCAACACATCAGGTCGCAGCCGAAGCGCCCACGTCCTCCTGAGAGCCCAGCTCCGGGCCACCTTCTCCACCGTGCTCAATCAGGGCACTCT